GTTAGATCCTGATGTGGGGTGGTGGATGGGGAAGAGGAGGGGTGTATGGTGCGCAAGAAGACATGGGGAGGAGTGAGGAGGGCAGGGAAGGGGACGGGAGGGTGGGGAATGGAAAGGAGTGGAGGGGAGGGAAAAAGATGGGGGGGAGGAGGGGGAGGAAAAGGAGAGAGGGGGAGAGAAGGGAGAGGAAGGGGAAGGGAGAGGGGAAGAAAGGTGGTCTCAACAATGGGAGGGAAGGTGGTGCTAGTTGGGATTTAAGCTAAAAGGCGGAAGGGAGATGGGAGGAAGGGGGCGGAGGGGAGGAAGGTAGTTGGGTTGGGGGAAGTGGAGGGGAAGGGAGGAATGGGAGGGTGGGGAAGTGGCTATTAACGATTCCAAGACAAGGGCAATCCAGGGGAGAATCAGGGCAGAGAATCAGGGCGGAGAATCAGGGCAAAAACCAGATTCATAGAACGGAAACAGCATGGATGGAAGGTGGAAGGTGCAACGGAGAAGGCAGGGGTTGAGAGGTGGGAGACAGGAATTGGGAGGTGTGGGGAGTTGTGAAGAGGTGTGGAGGGCAGTGGAGAGGTGTGGAGAGAGGTGCCGGGAGGTGCAAACGGGGGTGAGGCGGACCAGTTTGGCGAGGTTGATGCCGCTGAGGTTGACCCCTCTTAACCGCACTCGCTTGCTCTGAATGGCCATGATCACCTGGCAGGCCGGGCACACGCGCATAGATGGTTGCGTGGGGTGGGTGTTGGCGGTGTTGGTGGTGGGTGGGGGTGGATGGGGGTGGGTGGGGTTGGGTGGGGAGGGAGGGGGGAACGGGGACAGGGAGTTATTTGAAGGAGTTGTGGGGGTTGGAGGAGGAGAGGGTAGAGTAGAGTAGGAATGGTGTGAGAGAGGAGTGAGAGAGAAGAGTGTGAGTGAGAAGTGTGAGTGAGGAGTGTGAGTGAGGAGTGTGAGTGAGGAGTGTGAGTGGGGAGGGATGCCTGTGTTGAAAGTCGGGGATGGAAGAGGGAAGTGCGGGGGGAAGGGGAAGGGGCCAAAAGCGGAAGAGGGAAGAGGGAGAAAGAGGAAAGGAGAGGAAGGAAGCAAGGAGAAATGGGAGGGGAGTGCAGGATGCATAGTTCATACCACTCACTCCCCACACGCGACAAGGCATAAGGTGTTGCAATCGACAGCACCAGCATGCATGACGGCATGGAGCAGTGGGACACGGCACAACGGAGCGAGCACGGGGTGCCGTGTTTTGAGTCGACTCAAACCACAACAGAGCATGGCGTGCAGGGGTAGGGTAGTGCATGGTTGACAGGCAGCTGCAAGCAGGTATGGCATGGGCTGGGATGGCAGGGCAGCAACAAACAGCAGGCACAGTCAGTTTGAACTTCGCAAAAAACGAGAGGGCGGGAGAGAGGGATTGGAGAGGAGATGAGAGTAGAGAGGAGAGAGGAGAGAGGAGAGAGGAGAGAGGAGAGAGGAGAGATTAGAGAGGAGAGAGGAGAGGAAAGGGGCGGAGGGAGGGAGGGACCTCTTTGCGGGTGAGCTCGGGCGCGTCATCGTCCTCCACCTTGAGTGTTGCCACTAGCTGCGCATGGAACTCCTGCTCCCATGCCATGCCATGCCATGCCATGCGATGGTATCCCCGTGCACACACACACACACCCACGCATGCATGCAGCACCGCACAGCGCGCACCGCACATGGAGCACTGTTAATGGAGGAGACGTGCAGCGGCGTGGGGAACAGAGGAGTGGTACAGGAAGGGAAGCGGAAAGATGGACAGAGGGAGAGCAGAGAGGGGAAAGGGGAGAGGGGAGAGAGGAGAGAGGAGAGGGAGGGGAGAGGGGAGAGGGGAGAGGGGAGAGGGGAGAGGGGAGAAGGGAAAATGGAAAGAGGAGAGCGAAGGCCACTGCCTTCCCCCCGTGTCTCTGCTTCTGCCTCTGCCACTGCCTCTGCCTCTGCCCACCCTCTCACCCACCCATCCCCCCACCCATCCCCCCACACCCATCTCCACACCCTTTTTCCCACCCATCCCCCCACCCATCACCCCACCCATCCCCCGCCCATCCCCTCCCACCCATCCCCCACCACCCATCCCCCCACCCATCTCCCCACCCATCCCCCCGCCCATCTCCCCACCCATCCTCCCGCCCATCTCCCCACCCATCCCCTCCCACCCATCCCCCCACCCATCTACCCACCCATTCCCACCCAGCCAGCCACCCATTCCCCCCAGGCAGGCGCCCGAACCCCACCCCAGCGTACCCCGAGCTGGAAGTACTCGGCCTCGTGCATGAGCTCGTGGAAGAGCGCCGCGTCTGGCAGTGGCACGGCGCCGTCCCGCAGCCAGTTGAGCACGTGGCGGAAGTGCCGCCCGTCCCGGTCTATGAACACCGATGACTGCACGGTGTGGAGGGGTACGAGGGGGTGGGTAGGGGTGGGGGAGGATGGGGTAGGATGGCGGGGGATGGCGGGAATGGTCCATGTTTGGGGGGGATGAAGGGGGATGGAGGGGTCCCGCAGCCAGCCAGTTGAGCACGTGGCGGAAGTGCCGCCCGTCCCGGTCTATGAACACGGATGACTGCGCGGTGGGGCGCGGTGTGGGGTGGTGGGTCGGGGTGGGGGAGGATGGAGGGGGGATGGGAGAAAATGCGGGAGGATGGGGGAGGATGGGGGGGAGGGATGGGAAGGTGAAATGGTGCATGATGGGGGGAACGGAGGGGGATGCGGGGGGGTTGAGAAGCGATGGGAAGAGGGGGGTTGGTGGAAGGAGGTGAGGGAAGACAAGGTGAAGGCATGCGAGTGGTTCACGGAGGGTGAGGTGAGAGGGTGAAGGAAATGGGGGGGAAGGGAACAAATTAGAGAGTACAGCCTGCCAATAACAGTCACACAGAATAAGACATTTCGTTGCCAGGGGGGCGGGGAGGGGCGGAGAGAGGATGGGGAAAGGGAAAAGAAAAGGGGGGGAGTTGCCCGCAGCTGGAAGGGCAAGAGGAGGAACAGAGAGCAAGGGAACGCGAGGTGGGCAGGCAGGGAGAGAGGGAAACCGACAGGCAGCGAGGCAAGTAGGCGGGGAAGCAGAGGCAGCAGGGACAAGAAGGTTCGGCGTGCACCTTGTTGGCGGTGTCGTAGTGCAGGGCGTGCCGGCCGCTGAACATGGCGGCCAGCATGGAGCCGCTGTCGCGCTGCGTCACCGTCTCCACCGTCGTCTCGTAGCACGTGCCGCCTGCCGTCGCGCGGACACAACGGGGGAGAGTAAAGACGAGAGGGAGTGGAACAACAAGGGAGGGGAGGGGAGGACGGAGGAATGGGAATAGAGAGGGAAGGATGTTTTGGATTTCAAGGGAGGAGGGGATAAGGGATTGCTAGATTTCAGGTAGCGCGTGGGCGTGCCGTGCAAGAAAGCACGGGACCGTCATCACGGCATTCCTGTCTAATGCTGCTGTGCTTCATCACGGCATTGCGGCCCTCGCTCGCTCTCTCACCACGTTCACCACGCTCCACAATCAGCCTGATCCACCACTTATCACGCTCCAGAGTACCAACTAACTCACCCACGTTAATGCACACGCGCGACGACCCCACTTCTCTCTCCCCGCAGTCTCCGCCGCCCTCCATGCCGTGTGCCATCCGCCGTCTCCTGCCGATAACCCTAAAGGCTAACTACCCTACCGCCCGAGAATCCTGGCGGCCACCCACTTGATTGGCGGTAGAACCTTGCCAGACAATATGCCTAATGGACGGTTTCAGGCCTTCGGAGCCGCTATGCCGGCGGAATCAGTTCGTAAACAACAACAAATTACGTAAACGCCGTGGAGTATCAACGGCATTCGCGAACGGAAGTCGCTACGATGGGATAATGTCTTCGTGAAGAGTCACTTCGTGGCGAAGGAGAGTAAGAGGAGGGACGAGAGGGGAATGTTTAGAGCAAGGGTTGGGCCCGCCGAGGAAGGTGAAATGCAAACGAGTAGGGAGAGCGGAAGGAGAAATGAGGAACGCGAGAAACTATGGGAAGAATCGTGGGTGAAATGGCAAGTCAAAACTACCGTGACTGACTTGACGGACAGCTGCACCCACCGAGAAAACTCCCAGCCAACTATGGTTGGTTGGTGGGAAAACGCGAGCAGCGAAATGCTATTTTGTTTCGCACGCAGGAAACACGTGTACGTGTAACATCCCAAGCGGCCACTGAGAAGAACCGAAACAGCAGAAGCCAATCGCTGGCGCATGAGTTCGGTGGCTGGGGCGAGGAGCCCTACCGTATTGGTTGTGTGATGTGGCGAGGCTTCTTGCTTTAGTGACGTAGCCGGTAGTGAACGGCTCAGTAGTAACTAGAATAAGGAAGACGTCCATGATGGGAATAACTGTCGCACTAGATTGAACTAATTTAAATTTATGTGCTTGCACCAAATTAACCTAGCAGTAAATATCGCAGTAGAAGTAGATGTTTTAAGCACAATGATTTACCTACTCACAACAAACAAATACCGCAGATTAAGTAGTACTTGGTACGTGATGCTAAAAGAATACATGTGCGCGTAGTATAGATTAAAAAGCTTTATGAAGCATTTCTGTAAATGAACATTGTAGTCCACTATTTTCTGCAAATTCTGCAGGTAATAAATATATTAGACTGCATGAATTTCAAATGTATGTACTTCCTACTTATTCAATAAAGCTCTAGTCACAAACGTATCGTCTCTAGAACTTCCAGTGTGCGTCATTTTCGCATCGCAAGCCCGTGGTGAATCCAGTCACCCAGTCATTCGGCGAAACGGATTGGTGGAAATGACGGCATCTGATTCGTTCTCAAAATTCCGCATTGGCGACAAGATCGCTTCAGCGGATAAGGGTGTGCCTGGTCAGCATTCGATCAGGGAGCCCAGACACCAAGGAGGGCTGGTTGGAGGGAAAACCCAGGGACCAATTTTACGCTCACCAAGGCCAATCTCTAACTTCGCCACCAGAGGAATCTCAGGATCCCAAACCCTTCCTGAAATTTTCTCAAGCCTACAGCCATGGCCGCTGCCGTCGCTAGCCGTGCTCTCCTTGCCGCTCCGGCTGTTGCCGTTGCCAAGGCTCAGACCAAGAAGGCTTTCTTCGGCAACATTGCTGGTCTGGCACCCGTTGCCCGCCGCTCCACCCCCGTGGTGAAGTCCCTGGCCGTCAAGGCTGAGACTAACTACCAGGTCATTGAGCCCCTCAATGGCGACCCCTTCGTCGGTGGCCTCGAGACCCCCGTGACCTCGGCTCCCCTGGTCGCCTGGTTCCTGTCAAACCTCCCCGGCTACCGCACTGGTGTGAGCCCCCTCCTCCGCGGTGTCGAGGTCGGCCTTGCCCACGGCTACCTCCTCGTCGGCCCCTTCGTCTGCGTAAGTCGTGTTTAGTTCCCTTCATCTTGGTAGTCTCTGAATTGAGTGTAGTCCTATTGTAGTCTAACCCATTCTCTGTTAATTTCGTTGCTTCGTGCAGACTGGTCCTCTCCGCGGCACTGAGGTTGGCCAAGTCGCCGGTACCCTCGGGGCTGCTGCTATCGTCACCATCCTGTCCGTGTGCCTGACCGTGTACGGCATTGCCTCGTTCAAGGAGGGTGCTCCTTCCACCGCTCCCTCCCTGACCCTGACTGGCCGCTCCAAGGAGGCTGACAAGCTCCAGGTGTGTATCATAGCCTATTTTTGCGTTTGGAATCTGATTATACATTTGCTGATGTATATCGTACCTACTCTTGTTCTTGCAGACTGCTGACGGCTGGGCCTCGTTCGCTGGCGGCTTCTTCTTCGGTGGCCTGTCGGGTGTCGCCTGGGCATACATCCTGCTCTACGTTCTGGACCTGCCCTACCCGGTCAAGTAAATGGAATAGTAATATGTATGTAGAAATGATATGAATATAGTGATTCATTTTTTCCCAAAACACGGATAACACAGCTTCCCAAATTGTTAGCCAAAGAGTTGAATAGTAGATGTCCGTCCACACTAGTTCACGACTAGTACGACAGGAAAGTCCGATAACTTGTCGCAAGAATTAATATGCAAAATTATGTTGCGCTAGACAAATTTTAAAAAACGAGATGATCCGTCCGCTGTCCAGTAGGCTTATCCACAATATATGCTAACCGCAGAAATGAGCATTTTAGATGCAAAGGGGGCATGAGTCGTGTCGTGCCGCCCGTCGCCATTACTCGGCAGGCGCAGAGCCATGTGGCCGGTGGGGCGTCGGGGCGTGCAGCGCTGCGGAGGCGAAGTGCTCAGCTTAAGGCCGTGCGAGCTGTCGTGTTCCTCGTGCTGCTCGCGGCCTTCATTCACCTGCTAGTAAGCAGTCCTCGACCATACTGCGCCCTGTTTCTACCAAACAGCTTATTGTTGCTTACGCGTAAGAAACAAAAGACTGCAGCATTCCGCTAGACACCTCAAGCGTCGCGCTCTTACTACAAGAAATTGACCACCCATACGTTCTGTTTCCTGAAATCTGCTTCCGTCCTGCAGGTCACGTCTCGCAGCCGAAGCGCGTCGCTGGCAGCTGAAGCGCTTAAGAAGCTACGCCGAGGTGCCCCCGCCATTCCTGTTAACGTCTCACTGCTTTCGACTCCCTCGCTACAGCAGCAGCGGCAGCAGCCGATTCAAGTATGTGATGCTATGACGAGTGGCGAAAGGTCATGATTTTCGTTAACTATGTGCACTGCGTCTCAAGTGCTCGGTTAGTCCGTACTGTATACGATTTTAGTTTCGTATCGTGGGACTCATGCCGTTTCTTCCTGGAGGCGATTTCCTTACCCAGTCGGCCATTTCCTTACCCAGTCGGCCATTTCCTTACCCAGTCGGCCATTTTCAATCTCTTTTTTTTTTTCCCTGCAGAAACAACTGTTGCTCCCCAACCTACCGCGAATTTTGCCAGGTCAGGCTTCTTACCCATTTCTTCTCCAGCCCCTGATGAAGCGTTCATCGTAGCCCCTTCTTTCTCTCTCCCACACACTCCCACTCTGTCCCTCTCCCTCAGTAGCACGTGTTGCCTTGCCCCTCTTGCCTGACCTCGTATCGTCCATTCTCCTGACATCTCCCATTGCCCTGGCCCCTCCCCTTCCCAGCATCCTCTCTCTTCCCAGCAGCAGGCGAGCCAGCCGCAGGGGCTTCTTTTCCATCAGTCCCTTCCACGAGAGAAGGCAGCAGCGCAGTGCCATTTCAAGCACCGGCCAGGATTGACAACAGCACCACCACAGCGGACACTGATGCTACTAAGATCGCTCACGGCTCAGATGACACCAGTAGCAGCAGCAGCAGCAGCAGCAGCAGCAGCAGTAGTACCCCAGTGGTAGGGTTAGAAGGAGGGCGTGTGGATGAAGTGCAGCCACTGAGGGATGCTGAGCGTGGTGAGATGAGAGGGGAGGAGGCACGGAGGGGAGATTTTATAGGGCAGGTGGATGGTGAAGGTGGAGTGACAGAGGAAGGAGCGGGTGAGGTGGATGTTAATGGGGAGAAAGATTCCAGGCACGGAAAGGAGGGAGAGGAAAAGGGAGGAGAAGAGGAAGGAGGAGGAGGAAAGGTAGCAGGAGTAGCAGGAGTAGCAGGAGGAGGGGAACGTGGTGTGTTGGAAGGTTTGAAAAAGAAGACCGAAGCTAGGAGAAAAGGGCGGAAGAGGGTGAAAGTGAGAGGGATCCGTGAGAGGAGGAAGAACAGGAGTAGAGGGAGGATGAAAGGTGTGGCGGCGGAAGGAGGTGAAAAAGACGAGCGTACAGGTGGTGAGAGAGCAGCAGCAGCGTTAGCAGCGGCGGCAGAGGCAGAGAGTTTGGATGCTGATGTTGGAGAAGCGGTGGTGGTGGGTGGAGAGCGGCACAATGAGGATGGCAGGCGCTTTGGCGTTGGTGGTGGTGGTGGTGATGGGGAGAGGATTGGTGCTGATGATGGGGAGGATGGGAGTGTCCGTGTGAAGGGAGAAATGAGGGAGATTGAGGAGGAAGGGGTGGTGGAAGAAAAAAGGGAAGAAAAGGAGGAAGAAAGGGGGGAAGGAAAGGAGGATGAAGAGGAAGAAGGGAAGGAGGAAGGGAAGGAGGAAGAGAAGGACGAGGGAATGAAGGACGAGAAGGAGGAAGGGAAGGAGGAAGAGAATGACGAGGGGAAGGAGGACAAAAAGGAGGAAGGGATGGAGGACGAGGACAGGGAGGAAGGGAAGGGGGAGGCAGCGAAGGGTAGAGAGGAGGAAGGTGCTGCAAGGGGTGATGGGAGGAATGATCAAGCGGAGGAAGAGGAGGGGGAAACGAAGAAGGGCTCGCATGAGAATACCACTACTACCACTAGAGGTGGGGAAGCTGGTAGTGAAGGGGAAAGAGGGGCTGATGTGGATGATATGAGGGGGAAGACGGCAAAATAGGGGAGGAATGAAGTGTAACAGGGTGATGAGGAGGGGTTTGCAACTCGCAAGCACGAGTTTCCAAGAATACAAAGAGAGGAGGGTGAGGCAAGTGAGGGATATGGTGAGGAGAAGTGTGAGGAGGCTTTTCGGAAGCTAATGGTTTTTCAGATCTGCGTTTTTTCACAAGTTTTTTCACTGTTGTTCCTTTGCTTAAGCGTTCTTTCTGCTACTGCAGCCCTTCGAAAATGAGTCAGGGTGACAGGAGGGTGAGGCAAGTGAGGGATATGGTGAGGAGAAGTGTGAGGAGGTGGAGGAGGTAGAGGAGATGGAGGAGGTGTGGCAGGTGGGGGAGGTGGAGGTTGAGAGGAGGGGCCATGGTGAAGGGGGGTGGTGGGACACATGGGGCTGAAGAGGAGGCAGCGAGTCGACTTCAATATCCGTGAATGGAGCTACTGCTACAAGTTCTCAGATCCAGCCCAGGCCCTGTCCCTGTCTCAGTCCCAGGCACAGGCCCATGCCTAGCATATGAAAGCAAGTTAAAAAGGGGGAAGGGGGTGAGAGGATGGCATGGGTGGGAAGTGTGCTGGTGACAACGGGTGGTTATTTGGCTGGTGAGTGAGAGGGATAGGTCAGGTGGAGTGTAGTGAGGTTGTTATGAGGCAGGGGCTTGGTGGGTATGCAAGGTGCTGCGATCAGAAGTTGATCATGGCCTAGGATCTACTCAGGAAGGTTCGCACGCAGTAAGGTAGTGTTGGTGGGCCCTTGATCTCAATAGCAGAGTGAATGTAAAATGCTTGAGATGAATAAAACATGCAAATACAAGAAATATAAATATGAGTACAAGGGAATACGAAACGACCTAACTAGCCATGTACTCTAAGGGGTACATTCCCTTATTCAAATTCATTCCCAACCGTGCGGCGCGTACAGTTTCGTAACTGTTCCCGCCAAAACCATCCTGCCTGAAGCTGCCCGATGCCATCTGCTCCGACGGTCCAGATGTGCTGTAACCGTCTGACTCTTCGGTTCAATTCCAACTGTCTGACGCTTCGCGTTCATTCCCGATATTGCCTGCTTCTCTTTGCTGCGGTGAGGAGTGCACAGTAATATCAAATATTACTATTCGTAACACCCCCCTTCACTCCTGGCCGTAGCTCGACTTGACCTGCTTGACCACGCCGCTGAGTTCGGAGCAGTGCTGATACTGCTGGCGTGGCAGTCGCTTCGTGAGGAAGTCCGCTGCCATGTCACCCGTCGGGCAGTAGGTCAAGTTGACCTTGCCCTTGTCCACTTCGTCCTTCACGAAGAAGTACCGCAGCGCGATGTGCTTGGTGCGGTTGACGAAGCCAGGTTTGTTCGCGATGCGAATCGCGCTCTGGTTGTCGCAGTGAAGGCGGAATGTGTGCGAAGCTGGAATTTTCGCTTCTTGCAGAAGCTCCTGCAGGTAGAGGCCCTCGCGAACTGCTGCGGTTGCTGCGATAAATTCCGCTTCGGCTGATGACAGGGCAACCAACTCCTGCTTCTGTGAATTCCAGGAGATTGGCCCCGATGGCTCGAGTCGGAACAGGAAGCCAGTCCTGGACCGTCGATTATCAGGATCTGCTGCGTGGTCGGCATCCACGTAGCCGACGAGGTTGAAAGATGGGGTTGGTGCAGTTGAGTAGCACAGCCCAATCTTGGGCGTTGAAATGAAGAATTGGAGGGCGCGCTGCAGGTCCAGAAGATTCTCAGCCGTTGGTTTGCGGGAGTACTGCGCAAGCTGACTTGCGATGTACGAGAGGTCTGGCCTGCAGGTGACAGAGGCGAAGAGAAGGCATCCCAACTGCTGCTGGTAAGTCTGAATCCCAGCAGGGGATAGGGCTTTGTTGTCAGGTTTGTGGTTCGGTCCAGGGGTTCGGTAGGGAGTTGAGAGGGGTGCAGGTGAGATGTTGAACCGCTTCCCTAACTCTTCTGCGTACTTAGCCGCTGAGAGGTGAATGGCCTCAGGCGCGTAGGAGATGTTGAGGCCTAGGAACTGCTTCACCTCGTAGTTGCACGTAATGTCGACGCGCCCCGCCAAAGCCTTCTCGAACTGTTCGAGGAGCTCGTTGTTCGACCCTGTGTAAAGCAGGTCGTCGACATACACCGTAAGAAGAATGTATTCGCCGGGGAAGTCGCGGCGGTACATTCCTGGGTCGTGCGGCATCTGCTTGAATCCAATTTCAAGCAGGATGTTGTGCAGGTACTGCTGCCACAGTCTCGGGGCCTGCTTAATGCTGTAGAGTGACTTGCGCAGCTGACACACGCGCGAGTCTCCTTCGCCGTAGGTGTGCGGCTGCTCCACGTAAATCACGGCGTCCACTAACGCGTACAGGAACGCGTTCTTCACATCGATCTGGCGAAGTGGCAGGTGCCTTGCAGCTGCGATGGCGAGCAGAATGCGGACGGAGGTGTGGCGACTGACGGGGGCGAATGTGTGTCCCATGCCTCTGGTCATAGCCACGAACCACCCAGCGCGCCTTGAAGCGCTCGATCGTTCCATCCGCTGCAGTCTTCAAGCGGAAGAACCCACTTCCCCGAGAGAATCCTTGCGCCCTTGATTGCCGCGCGGTCGACGAGCACCCAGGTGTCGCGTGACTCTAGTGCCTTGATTTCCGCGTCCATCGCCTCACGCCACTCCTTGCTGTGTGGTCCAGAGAGAGCCTCGCGCGGGTTTCGGGGCTCGATGATGCGCGGCGCTTTCGAGGTTGCAGCGTGAAGTCCGAGCAGCTGCAGCCCCGAGACGGTGCTGTCGTGGCGACGTTGCGGGATGACTTCCTGCACATCGTCATCATCACTTTTGGGTTCAGGTGGTGCTGGTGGTGCTGCGCCTCCGCCGCTTCCGCCTGTTCCGCTTCCACCTGTTCCGCCTATTCCTCCTCCCGAGGGATTGTCGTCATCGTCGTCGTCGCTGCTGCGCCAATCTTCCCATGTGAATTCGGCCCTGGTGTCCTGCTCTAGAAGTGCTGCAGCGGCTTCGTCTTCGGGCGTTGCGTAGCTGTGCCCGTTGTTCGCGTAGACGCGATCCGCGTTTCTCTGCTCGTCGTCGCGGAACTGGTCGAGGAAGAGGCGTTCGTAGAAGATTACGTCGCGGGCATGGGCGGTCTTCTGGCTGAGGAGGTCCAGCACGATCCACGCCTTGTACTCGTGGCTGATGCCGAGGTGAATTCCCCAGCGCGCGCGGCTGGCGAATTTGCCGATGGTTGACGTTGGCGGGCGGTACTGCACCATGCACCCCCATACGCGCAGCATCGATGTGTCCCCCTTAGTCCCGGTCCACTTGACGTGCGGGGACAGGTTGCCGGTGATGGCGGTGGTCGAGAGCAGGTTGTGCACCCGTACGGCGTGGTGCATCGCGTAGGTCCAGTAGATCGGCGGCAATTTCGACTGCTTCATCAGCGCGCGCACCTTCGTCATCAGCGTGCGGTTCGTCCGCTCAGCTACGCCCTGCTGCTGGTGCGCGTAGGGGAGAGAGATGTGGTGCTCGATCCCCTTTTGCGCCAGGAAGGTCTGCATCTGGTTGCTCCTGAACTCTGCCGCGCCGTCAGATTGCCAGATTTTGAGCTTCTTCCCAGATTGCCGCTCGCTCTGCATGTGCTAACCAGAGCCGAAACACCTCGTAGGCTCTGTCGCGGGTTTCCACGTTCACGACCCACACATAGCGCGTTCCAGCGTCGATGAAGGTGAGCGTGTAGAGTTCGTCTTCTACTCCGCAATGCCCCACGTTCAGGAAATCGCTGTACACCTTGTGCAGCTTGGGGTAGCGGTTCGTTCCAGGTTCGAGCAGCGGGAACGGTTGGTGGCTCAGCGCAGCTTCGGGGCAGACGGTGCAGTTGCGCGGATGTGTTGTGCCACTCACTTCGGAGCCATCTGGGCGCAGGAGCGCCCCAGGTGCGAAGACGCCTGCGTCGATGCAGTTTTTCAGCGTCGCGCGTGAAGGGTGCCCAAGGCGCTGGTGCCAAAGTGCATCGTCAGCACAAAAGCCGGAGGTGCGCATGTAGCGCGCGCGTGCTTCCTCCGGGTCTTCGTCGGGTACGGGAGCAGGTTCTGTTGCTGCCTCCTCTGCTTCTTCTTCTTCTGCCGCGGTAGTCAGCATCAGCGCCAAGAACTCTCTGTCGCGAATTTCAGAGAGCGGGATGTTGGTCCTAGAGATGGTTCCAGGGACAAGGGTAGGTTGGCGTGGTTCAGGGGCAGGTCCGTAGACAGTGCGACGCGGGGTTGACGGCTCGTTGCCCCAGATAATGGTATCCCACGGGTCTGCAGGAGGTGGTGCGAGCAGGATGTGGCGCGGGGGACGACCGACTGGAACGACTGCAGGTGCTGCTTCGGTTTCCGCGGCTTCTTCCTCTTCCCCCCTTCCTTCCTCGCGGGAAGTGCCCCAGCCGCTATTGTCGGCGCCAGATGCGGCGCCCCATCCGCCGCTCGCGTTGGCCCAGGTTCCGCCGTTATCTTCCCATCCGCCGGTGTCGCTTGTTCCCCATCCTCCAGCGCTCCCCCACCCCCCTTCATTGGAGGCGCTCTCTACTGCTTCGGCTCCCCATGCGCCGCAGGCGAAGGTCCCATGCGCTTCGGCGAGGCTTTGCTGGCGAAGCTCCTCGGCTTCGCGGCGCGCCAGTTCTTCCTCCTGCTCCACGGTGAGTTTTGCCGTGGGATCGCGCCACTGAGGATAGACCTTCAGGAATTCCTTGAGGGTGTAGGGGCGCGCGACTCCGCGTGAGTCCAGGCTACCGCGACGTTGTCCGCGCAGGATGCCTTCGAGCCGCTGCGACGGTGGTCCGGCGTAGGGACTTTGATTAGTGCAGAACACGCGGTGAGTGGTGACTTCAAGCTCGAGCTGAGACATTCCTTCCTCTGGCGGCGCGTGGCGCTCTGCTTCGGCGATGGCGGCGAGTCCGCGGCCGGCGATTGCACTTGTTGACGCCGTCAGCGTGTGGCAATCCCTGCAGATGCCATCTGGACCAGGGTCGTGCAGCGCCGTTTCGCGTGGGTGGGGATGATGC